CAAGGAAGCACTGCTAGGACGTCCTTATGCCACACCAACCCTCACCTGTGTCTTTGGCCTCTTGTGGCCATTACAGCCCAGCACAAATTAAAACAACTTTTTAATTGGCCCAACCATAAGAGCAGGACCAGCCTACACAGCAGTTTTAGAATCATGGGAATGAAAAGGAGAATTTCAAACACAGGGCCAGCTACTTAGGTACTCTGTGTTCCATCCCTGGCTCAATCACAGACAATATCAAGTCATGGGCAAGGGCAAGTCACGTAGGCCTGACTTTTTAAATGTCTTTAGAGATTGCTGAGACTTAGGCATTGTAATACTAAAAGCACCAATGCCTGAAATACCTTTAAAAAGCCAGGCTTTCGTTTTTCTGAGTCTGTTAAATAAGGGTAATACTTCCCTACCATGTGTCACACACAGCTACTATGGTGATGAGGCAATAAAAGATACTTAGATATGAAGATCTGACCCAACCCAGGATAAAAATCAGCAATCAGTACCTTCAGGAGTCCAATCTTTTAAAGTTCCAGTCCTTATTCTGAGGTTTTACAGTATGAACCAGTCTCTCAGAACTGGTAAAAATGCACAGTAAGTGGCAAGGAAACATTAATCAGAACTAAAATCATGCAAACAAACTGCAAAATTAAACTGAAGGAAACAAAAATACATCTGCATTTTGCAATGCAATCTAATACTTTGAGAAATGAAACTTATCCTGATCTTGACCGGAGCTTGTCATTTTTTTGTGGCAAATAGAAAATTTATCAGAAAATGCATGTGGGGATACGGAAACTATTAAGTGAATTTTGCAAACTGTTTCAACTGAAAAAAACTATTTTGGAAATGCTGAAGCAAACAATTTGGAAAGTGTCATTTTAACTTGACATTTGAAATGTTTCATTCAACCCAAATCAAATTCTTCAGCTTTTAATTTTAGCAAGAAAAAAATCAGTTTGAAACAAACTGATTTTTTTCATGTTTTTTGGTTTGGCCACCAATCCAAAAAAAAAAAAAATCAATTATTCACTCAGCTCTAGCCTTGAACACATATCACCTTGAGGTACAGGATAAACAGCTAAACTCTTTGAATTCAAGGCTCAGTATAAAAATGCAATATACTGCATGCAAATCTACTGTCAGCTTTTAACAAACTGAGCCAGTTAACAGGCTAGGGGAATCATATAACGCTCCCTTCTCCCACTCTAGACCTGGTTTATAGCCAAGTCTCAGTCCTACCTTCACCTCCACTTTTGTGGGTACAATATACACCAGCTAACGAAGCCAATGTCAATGTCCACTGCAGCAAACATGGGGGCCAATAAAATGCATTTGTGAGACTGGAGCTTTAGAATGCTTCTGTTTGGCAGCACACTTGGCCTTGTGATTCCATTGAAAGCCTCTAGACCTGAGTTATAATTCTCTGGGATGCAATCACAGCAATACCGGAGCAATTCTGGGATCTTTATGCTGGTCAAAAGGCCAGAACCTTGCTAAAGCTACCCAGTAGTGGAGGAGGAGGTCTCTTGTTGCTCTTCTGCAAAAGAATGCAGCACAAAAGCATGCCAGGCACAGAGTGAACGCTGGCTATTTGGGGATGCTGGAGCCGCCCACAAGCAGACATTCTAGGGTAGCTCGGGGCTTGTCTATACTCATGGAATTTTGTACCAACGTGACCAAGGCGATATAGTCACCATTGTAAACCTTCCCACTGTCGCCATGCTGCACCTGTGCACAAAGTGGCTCAGCTAGTGCAGTGTGTCCATGCTTTGCAAATCTGCAAGGCAGACAAGCTTCCGGGGCTGCTCTAACTTGTGCTGGGCACAAGACCTGCCCCTAGCAAGGCCAGGAATTTGGAAGATAGAAGGGTGACTTAAAGCTGTCATTGCTTCCCCTTGGCTCGGCTGCAGTGCTCAGCAGGTGCAGCGGAGATTGGGGGCCAGCATTTAATGACAACTATAATGGAAGCCATGTGGAAAAGAAGACTGGGGGGTGGGGGGGTATCAACATCAACAGGCACATTTCAGAGAGAAGGGGTAGGGGGGAGCTGGAATCTGCTTTAGTTCTCTTACATTCTCCTGGAATACCTGGTGTCTCAGACGATCTCCAGAGAGCCCTCGGTGTCCTTCTCCACAGCCATAAGCACAGCCCAGGGATTTCACTATTTTGATCAGCATTGTCAGTGCCAGTCTGTGAGTGCTTATGGGAGTGCTTTCATCCTAAGAGATGGAGAAAGGAAACCATACCATGTGACGCTGAGGTCAGGTCATTCATATCCCTTTAGCATCTGCTCAGAATTGGCTTGCAAACTATCCAATATTAGTCTGAATAGTTAAGTAATTGAAGATGCTATTGATTTCTCCTTATTCAAGCCCAGTGCCTAATCCTTTAAAAACTTTGTAGTCAGGAGCATTGTAGTCAGGTGTCAATGAGATACTTCTAAGCTTTCAATTATCTGCCAGGTGGTACGGATATGACTGTGCTGCCGCACTTATAGGGTGTGTCCACACAACATCTTAAGCTCAAAACAAGATATGCAATTTGCGCTATGCAAATTGCGTATCTTATTTCAACTGCATTTCAAAATAGCTTATTTTGAAATTTGGTGCATCTACACAGCACCAAATTTTGAAACAACAAGCTATTTTGACACATCCCTTAACCCTCATGGGTTGAGGATTATAGGGATGCCGAAACAGAATGCCCGATATCTCAAAAAATATTTCAAAATAATGGGTGCGTTTAAAAGACACAGGGTAGCTAACAGCCCTGCTGTCTAGACGTACGCATAGTGAGTACAGGTTGAACCTCTTTAGTCCAGAACTCTCTGGTCTGGAAACATCTATAGACCGGCAAGATTTTAGTTAGCCAGATGTCCATTTTTCATGGGCGTGGCCAAGTTTCCCATGGTCCCATAAAGTTTGTTTATAGCCACTAGTCCTGACTCTCAGTGTTCTGTGCTGTTATTTAGCTCTAATTTAACCCTAAATGTCTTCTAAGAGCCAGTAAACAGTGGAAGTCTAGCAGCATTACCAACAAAATATTGACCTCCCATGGTTCTGAAAATTCTCTGGTTCGAAACCGGTTAGGTCCCGAGGGTGCTCGACTAGAGAGGTTCAACCTGTGCTGCTTTACTGAAAGTAGTCCGATTGAAATCCATGGGACTACTCAAAGTATTATTGAAGTAAGTGGGGCAGAACTGAGCCCTACGGACTTCAGGGGTCAGAACCATATGCATCTAGTCAAGTTACAAAATGAAGACTGGGCGAGCGTACTGTCCCTCTCTTGCTACTTGTTTGCTTTGTGCCTCTAAGTACTACCATAAATAATAAAAAGTAGAAAAAATCAGCAATAATTTGTCCTGTTTGTTTTTAAAAAGCACTTGTACGGTATGTAAAACAGCACTTAATCAGGGCACTAGAAATACTTGTTTTATATGAAGAACACATCCATGCTAGGTCCATTAGGGCTGCTTAGCAAAGCTACTTCCCGCATGTAGCCACAGCAAAGAGCGCTGAATTTTCCAAGGCAATGCATGTACTGGGTTTGCTGTGGGTACTGCACTGACACAAATCAATATGTTTTAGTAGTGCAAAGAAAAGAAAACCTAGCCATTCCCAAAAATAGAGAGACAACAGGAAATGATAAGTGCTTGCCCACATACATCTGCACAAATACATACACAAACTTAAAATTCCTTATGCCACATGCATGTACTCTCTCTGTAGTATCTGTTACCCAAACATACCTTTTCTTGATTTTTATCATTCTTTTCATAAGGACCTCCACCTCCTCCTCCGCCACCTCCATCGGCTCCGCCACCTCCTCCTCCACCACCTCCTCCACCTCCACCTTCTTCTCCTCCCCCATCTCCAGCTCCACTGACTGGGGGGCCCCCGAATCCACAGGCTGAGCCACCTGAAGCAGCCCCCTTGAGCTGGAAGGATCCCTCACTCGGTCTCTTTTCCACAGCCTCATTTTCCTTGTTCTCACTCTTCCTTCTGACTTTCTCCACACAGGGCACCACACCAAGCTGCAGCAGGCACTCAACGATGTTCAGCGCCACATCGCAGATACGGGAGCTGATGTCATGGTTTAAAACCAAGTAAACAGCCTTCAAGACCACCTGGACAAAGAGGGCAACAACGTGTTTTGGTCAGACTCGTGTTCCGTATTGTTATTGTTTATTATCATCATTGCTTTGTATTTGTATTACCAGAGCGCGTAGGAGCTCTCATCATCTACAATCTAAATGCAAAGTCCAGCAGCAACAGGTGGGTATGCAGAACCCAAGGAAACAACGAGACAATATTGGTCATCATGATAGGCCAACAGCCTAACCATTATCAAGTTTTTTGGTAGGCATCCCAGCAAAAGGGGGTTTTGAGGAGGGATTTTCAGGAGGACAGTGCATTTGTTTTGTGTATGTCCAGGAGGAGTATAAGGGAAGGAAGCATGAGTTTAATGAGTAGTAGATGGAGGATGGCATCACCAGCCAACAGGAAGCAGATGTCAACATTTCAAAGGTGAACGAGATGATAAAGAAGGAAGGAAGGAAGAGGCCATGAAGGGCCTCAGAAGTGAAGACGCGTAGCTTTATGTGTAATGTGAAGAGGAGGAGGAGGCAGTGGAGGGATACAAAGACGGGGTGACATGGCTGGAAGGAACACAAGCAGGACAAGATTGCACTCAAACAAGGGCTGAGAGATGGACATTGCAGTAGCTGAGATGCCACTCTATGACTGCCTGGACTAGAATTTCAGCTGTGGATGGGGAGGAAAGGCCGTATCTCAGAGATGCCATGTGGAAAGAACCAGCAAGGTTTAAATATAGCCTGGATATGAAGCCCCAGAGAGAGGTCTCAGCTGAAGATGACACCCTGGTTATCGACATGAGCCACAGGCAGGATAATGGAATGATTTCAAGTGGTTAAGAAGGAGGGGAGGGGGAGTTCTTCTGGGGTGTCAAGATTAGGAGCTCTACTGTAGCCATGTTAAGCTTGGGGTGGCAGCTAGACATCCACAAGGAGGCGTCTGTGAACTAGGCTGAAACTTTAGTTTGGGCAGTAGGAGAGAAAGCCTGGAGTGGAGAGGTAGTTCTGTGAGTTATCAACAATGAAGACGGAAGTTGAACTTGTCAAAGGCAAGGCAAAGGTAAAAGAGAAGAGGACCTGAGAAGGGGACAGAGCCCTGTGGAACTTTCCCAGAAAGCTGGCAGGGAGGATGGGGAGGATCATCCTAAGAAAATGCGGAAGGAGAGATTAGAGAAGTGGGATGAGAACCAGGAGAGGTCCATCACGGAAGCCCAGGGAGGACAGAATTCCAAGACACAGCAAATACTTTAAATTCAAGGGTTTGATTTTGACTGTCTTCTTCTCCCTTAGCTAATGTGAGAGTTTGGATTCACTTCCCAACTCCATCTGCTCACTCACTCTAGGGAAGGAAGAAGGTAATGATCTTCCAGAGCCAGGAGTTTGGAGTCTGATAGACTTTGCTGAAATTCTGACAGAGATGAATCTTTTTCCCTTCAAGGCAGTCCACCTCCCTCACAGACTTCTTATCTGCTATGCCAGTGTTAGAAACCTCTGGGATAACACTAGAAACTGACTCACAGTAAGTAAAAGCAGTGTGGTCTACTTGGTAGGGCAAGTGGGAATGTAAGTCAGGGTACTAATACTGTTCTACCACTGACATGCTGTGTAAACTCCCCCTCCCAACCAACAGCTCAGCCCAGCCCACCTCTAGGTAGGAGCTCATAGGTGCTACTGTAATACAGCGATTTAATAATACAGGCAGTCCCCGACTTACGCGGATCCGACTTACGTCGGATCCGCACTTACGAACGGAGCTTTCTCGCCCCGGAAGTCGGGGCGAGAAAGCCCCGTTCGTAAGCTGCTCCGGTGCCCCTGGTCTGCTGGAGACCGTCTCCAGCAGACCAGGGGCACCGGGCGGGTTCCCGCGCTTCTGAGGCTTTG